TTGCAAATCTTGGCTTGGTATTTTTGCATCTTTGTTCCTTGATTTGGAAAGTCCATGTAACTTGATTGACAACGAGCTGAGAGTAGCACCGTTGGATGACTCGTTTTGCTCCGTACTCGAGTGCTAGCTTTAGACATGCAATCACGGCCCAATCTCATGAATATCGTATATATCACGCTCCATCCAACTTTTAAATGCCTCTATATCGTTATTGGCTGCAAATTCAAGCAAGCTAGCAAAAGTATCTTCAGTTTCAACAGTCAGATGATTCATGTTCATGCTTGTAGTACAACAAATACCAAAACTGATGGTGTAGAAAAATAACAATCTCTTTTCTAATAGCTACATTCAAGAGTGTATACTCTCATCTTATATCAACAAAATTTGAGGTAATAAGAGGAAAGTGTATCCCTTGCAGCAGATCCCCAAACTTTCATGTTCATCATACATATATATGGGATATGTATATATAGAAAGAGAAAGTGGGTAAGAATTGATTTTTAGAGATCTAGAGAAAACTAAAATTTTAACTAGAAAATCCCCACAGAAGGCGCCAAATTGTTTGACCAAAAAGTATGAGACCTTTTGTTAAATTAATTAAATAAGAAGATAGAGGGTAAATCCTAGTTAAGAATAATTAATTCCAGATTTGAGATGAATAACATGAATAGAAAAATGTAGTTGAGTACAAATCTTGGCAGTAGTTATGGCCGAATCTAATAATATGAAAAAGACCAGCATTAAATAACATTAAATGACAATAAAATATAAATAAAGGAGAAGATTCACCCAATCTTGAGTGAGGCAGATCCTCTTTCATTTGATAAAGATGAATGATAGACAAATACAACAATCTTAGGGCTATTTTCGGACCTGATGAGGAGTGTGGGATAATAGATAATCTAATCTCTTTAGAGAGATGTATTTGTATTTTTTCTAGAGAGAGAGAGGGTTTGCTTTTTTAGATGTTCTCTCTTCTAGTCCCCTTTTTTTCCCCTGTCTCTTATACTCTTTATATGAGATACCCCAAGGAGCACTAAACAGTACAATTAGAGAGAATGTTCAGTAGAATATTCCCTTTGAAGATTCCAAAGCAAAACTAACTGTTACTTCTATCTGTACTGCTCGGCCTCGGCCTTGTTGTTGATCACTGCTCGACCTCAGCCTTGTTGATGATCAATGCTCGACCTCGGCCTTGTTGATGATCACTGCTCGACCTCGACTTTGTTGATGATAACTGCTCGACCTCGGCCGTACTGCTCGACCTCTGCCAGATAGCACAATTCGATTCGCACGTTACTCATGACAATTGTCTCCGCATGTCGAATTTCTCCGATTTGATTTTGACCCTATTATTTCAACATTTGCTAATACAAAATTTCATTATTTCAGTTTAACCATAAAATTTTGCAAATATTAAACTTATCTACTTAAAAGCTGCAAGTGAATTATTAAAATATTAGTGTACTTCTACTCACAAATATAGTATTCAACTTCCATAAATTTTTTTCAAGTGAAGTTTATGTCCCAAACAACTCAACTTGTACAAAATTATTTTTCAAACTTGGATTCAAATATCTTGCCAGCACAGAGAATTGACTTGGCCAAGCCAAACCGAAATGACACGGCATTTTCCCCAATGTATGAAGAGAGAATAGGAGCAATTTCTTGAGTCGTCGTTTACTTCGTTCTTTTGTTCCCACCGAGACAGACGACTAACCCGTCGTTTACGGCTATCCAAAGGCGGATCTAAATAACCAATAATGACAAGAACGAACCAAACTTCTCATAGCCGTCCCCTCCTTGTGATTTCTCATAATGTAAAATGATAATTTAAGCACACCGTATAGTTCGGGATTTCGGATTTAGGCGTAACGACTACGTGTCAATTTATGTGACTGCTAATTGTTGGTTGTGTTAAATATAAACGAATCTTCATCAACGTTTTCCTTTTATGTTACAATTAGGGGTGGTAAAATGGTTAAAAGAAAATAGTTAACCACCCATATTATCCACTAAAAATTGGGTTGAATAATAAACTTTTTAAAAACGGATCAAATATGGATAAGAACCATATTATCCATTAAAAAATGGATAATCAATGAGTAACCAATGGATAACCAATGAGTCTAACTTTTACATTTATAAAGCCTCAAATTGGGGGTTACTCAAGTTAGGGAGACTAAGAATTCTCCCAAAAGTGATCATATATAAGAAGTCATGGATAATATGGGTAACTTATATTATCCGCCGGTTAACCCGTTTTTTATCCGTATTAAATATGGGTCGGGTCGGATAATTGATCCATTTTTTCATTACCCGTTTTCGACTCGAACTATATCCGACCCGACCCGCCCGTTTGCCACTCCTAGTTACAATCATAGTATCTAGAGCTGTCAAAACGGGCTAGCCTAGTCCAACCCAGCCCAAGCCTCATGGGCTTTCAAATTTGGTGGGCTAGAGCGGGCTGGCCCTCCATCTATATGGGCCTTAAAATGGCCAGCCCAGTCCAACCTAAAAGGGCCGCGGGCTAGGGCGGACCGGCCCTTCAACTTTTTTAGAAAAAAATATTTCTTCAAATCTTTTAGATATTTTTTCATGACATAATCTCTTAACCATATGAACGACTTCTGTTTATTTAGAGTGTACAAGAATCTTGATATTTGATAAGGAATCTCGTGATTGAAATGCAAATTATCTATATCTCTAGCTCCTCTTTTTTTAACGTTACATGAATATTTTTTTAGTACTTTTCTTTCACTTTCCTTAGATTTAGAAATTTCTTCGATAAATTTATATGTTAACGTTTTTTAATTTAGGTTTAACATTATTTGTTGATTTCATCATTATAGTCCATGAAATTTTTAAAATTCATGAAATTTGCTAGTATTTTTTCATTTTCTTTGGGTATTAAAACTTGACCTTTTTCTATACTGAAGAGCAATTTAATAATTAATAATATATTAAAGTAACCAAACTGATCATTGGCCACTTAAAGTAATATTTCTTTTGAAAGAAATTACTATTGGCCACTTAAAACTTTCCTAGTTCGTTGTTAATTAAGCAAAAGAAAAACAAATCTTGTCATACTACATGCATATCAAAAATATAAATTCTAGTAGTTGATATGGAAGGATAAATAAGAATTCTAAGGTTGGAAAATGTGGATTATAGTTAATATTTTTTTTATTTTTTTACTTTTTTTAAATATTTAAATATAAATTTAATTAATTTTTGACCCACGGGCCAGCTCAGACCCAGTTTCGGTCAAGCCTCAAGGGCCAGTGAGCTGACTTGGGTCGTGCCTATAAGCCTCAGTTTTAAATGGGCTAAAATAATCCCAACCCAGCCCTACCAAAGTAGCGGGCTGGGTTGGGCAAGCCTCATGGGTCAAACCCATTTTGACGGCTCTAATAGTATCATTTATATATATTTAACCTATACAATAGTCGAATGAAAATTTAATCCCATACTAATAATAAAAAGAGTTATCATGAAAAGAATCACTAAGTATGACCTTAAATTTCCCGTACGGAAAAATATTCACAAATTATTATCTACTAACTTACGTAATTACTATTACACATAATATTGTATCATTTTTAAGTTAGTAGGCATATTGTATGTGCATATAATATATTAATAGACATTTTAAATCTAAGATGAACTTATTTAAAAACTTAAAATTTCCAAACAAAAAGAGACGTGCTTAATAATTGGATGAAAAATCCTCTGGCTTATCTTACAATTATTTCAAAGTTAAAAAAGAATTCATGCGGCCTACTTCTTCTTTTTTTTTCTTTGCATGCTGGCATTATCTAATTCTAAATAATCAAAAAGATTCCACCATTTGGCATTGTTTCCTCATTTATTATTTTTAACAAATATGTGAAACAACCGATTAACCAATATTAATATTTGACTTTTCATAAGGAAAATCGTTAATTTCAATAAGTACATATGGGAAAAGAAGGTGTAATGGCTTTCTGGCCACTTAAACTTGTAGGGCTTTTGAAAGCCGATGCACGAATTTTGGATTTTCCTATTTGAATACTCAAACTTTACAAAATGAGTACTAATAAACACATCCACAAGAGCGTGTATATCAATTGCGCTGACATGTACAACACATCAAGCTAAGCTATTTATTACTTGCCATGTGTTATTTGTGCGTCCCATTTTTAAATACAAAAAAGAAAAAAAGAAGAAAAAAAACTCCTGAAACATACCCAATATTAATCTGTACGAGCAGCTCCAGACGCTCCTAACTTCTCCAGTGAACGGCTACTCAGATATCACCATGGGAAAAGTTCACGGATCACTTGCTTGCAAACTCCAAAAGTTGCCAAACAGGACAAGAAGAAGAAGCCTCGTGGCCGTGCTCACAAGAGGATGCAATACAACCGCAGATTTGTCACAACAATTGTTGATTTCAGGAAAAAGAGGGGCCCGGACTCATCCGAGAAGTAAATGAAGAAATGACTTTATTTTTAGGTAAAGAAAATTGTTGAAGTTCAATGGTTGTATTTGCAATTTGTTGCTTCTGAGAATACTCCACACAATATAATGTTAGCACTATTATACAATTGGTTTCCGTAGTTAATGAAATGGGATAAGCAAGAATTCAATGGTCAACGTGATCTTGACCAAGTTGCTGGAAGAATTACTGCTGCTCTTTAAGAGATGAATACAGACAATTTTATGAATACATGAGTTAGAATCACATCCAATGGCCAACGTAGAGGAAAAGTCTTTTTTTTCTTTTTTCTTTTTTATTTTTATTTATATTTTATTGTAATTCTAATTTTTAAGTTAAAACAATACTATTCACGCGTTATGGCAGTGTGATTTGCACACAGTTTAGCTATGTCACCTATAGTGCTTCCACATAGGCATAATCAACGGTCAAAAGTATTTATTAATATTCATTTTATCAAGTTTAAGTGTTCAAATTGAAAAATTCAAAAGTTTCTCTATTTTTTTTTAAAAGCCCAAATTTAAGTGGCCAATAACCCAATACGCCGAAAAGGAAACAATACAAAAACTCTGACAAGAAAACCCCGCGCTGTCCTTCTCCTGCCTCGGAAAGTAAAATCATGAAGAACCGAAACAGAGGCAAAGTCTCACCTAAATGGATTGCTATTCTTTGCATTTTTAGCTTTGCTCTTGGCATGCTTTTCTCTAATAGGTAACTCCTTTTCTGGTTTTCTGGGTGATTGTTTTCATCCATTTACATACAAAAAGATCCCCCCTGAATCAGAAATTTTGATGGGATTAAAAAAATTAGCTGTTTGGTTGAGTATACTATGTTAGTCTTGTCGTTTTTCATCTATTTCTTCTTCAAATTTTCTGGTTAAATTTTGAGTGATCTCTTCATTCATTTTGATGCATAATTGGCCTTTGTGGATTTTCAAGAATTCGTAGCTGTTTGGTTTTGGTTGTAAAAATTTAATTTTTTTCTTTATCGAATTCTTGACTATTTTGTTTGTGGTGATTGATGTTGCATAATTAGAGTTTGGACTCCTCCAGAATCAGATGGGATGATCATGTTTGGAAGGCGCCATAAACAAGAAAGAGACTTGGCTTTTATTTCTGACGATTGTGATTCCAAAGATAACCAGGTCCAACATCCCCCTCCCCAACGAAGAAAAAAAAAGGAAAAAAAAAACTATTTTTATCATTATTATTGCAGTTTTCTTAAGTATGGATGAATATTTATCTGCAGAAGGAGGACATGATTGGAGAGTTTAACAAAGCCCAAGTAGCTATCCAGTAAGCATTACAGTTTTCATGTGATTAATCACCTTGAACTTTTTTTCTACTTAACAATCAAACTGGACTAAATATGTCAAACAGCAGACTGAAGAAATATGCTTATTAGAAAATGTCACTGGTTCAAAAAAGCTTATGCAGAAAATAACTTTAAGAAAAAGGGAAAAGTAGCTATGATGTTTTACATAGTTCTGATCTTGATGATCCTATTCTTAATTGGAGCTCTTTCAGATCGTTGGATAAGTCAATTGCTAAGATTCAAAGTGAGCTGCCTTCAACTAAGACTCTTCTAACTCCGCGGAAAACTGAAGCAGTTCCTTCCACGAGCACAAATACTGAAAGAAGTGGGACTAGAAAGAAGGCATTTATGGTTATTGGAATAAACACTGCCTTCAGTAGTAGAAGGAGGCGTGATTCTATTAGAGAAACCTGGATGCCTCAAGGTGCTAATTATGAGGTTATTGGTTTACTTTGAATTTGTGTCTTTACTTTCCTCCTCCTTAATTTGACAACGTTCCATGTGTTTGAATAGGTGAAAAGCTACTTAGATTAGAGCAAGAAAAGGGGATCATTGTGCGCTTCATGATCGGCCACAGGTATGATCTACATTGCTCCACGTCTTCTGTATGCCAAACATATACTAGATGCTTATTCATCAAAGAGTTTCTGCTGGAGTCTCGTGTTCTTTCTTGCCAAAACAAGTGATAATATGTTCCCATTTTCTTTTCTTTGTTTTAAATATCCTTTTTTTCACTTAAGATTTGAATGATAAGATTAGCTTTTATAGTGTTCCATCTGTAAAATGTATGGCTCGTTGTTTTATTGGGAAATTTCATTAGGAAGGTATCTTTTAGAAGCTTGTTAAGAGTTAATTCTCCACTAAAGTTGGCTTGGAAAGATGTAACAAAAGGCACAGATAACTGCATGTGACTGGAGATTAACACAGTTTTTTTTCATTACGATTTTTGTCAACTTCCATCCAAACTCGTTCCTACACACAATAAATGCGTAATGAGTATATTTCACATTTATAAGCATGTGATCTCCCACAATTCACATACAAAATGATATAAAAACATACTAAAAATCATGCATTTTTGGTTATTTATCAGTGCTCATTGAACAATTCATATTAATTAGCATAAGATAACCTTACAAATACATAGACTCATTGGTAAACAATGGGTGTTTCAGCACCCACACTTGTATATGTGAATCTGCCTATGAGCTGATCACAAATAGGGAAGTTAACCCTTATGGTCATGGCATAATTAATACTTGGGTTTCTGAGAAAAAAATATTTCCAACATACTTTGTGGTTGATAACTTCAGAGGATGCAGTAGTATTTTCTCAACATAGAACAGAAGATCATCTATGACTGACACCTCACTGTTAGAGAGTCGGCACTTTAGTTTTTTCCTTGAATTAAAACAAAAATGAGGAGCTTCAAGAGTCCATTTCTCTAATCGGCTCCTTTTGTCGTCATTTTTTCATAGACTCAAAAATGTCATTCCGCTTTGTTTAGTTATTAGACATTAGATGTTTTGATAACATAGGTTATTAGACATCTTTTAGTTTTTCTGTTATTTTTTCCTTCCAATTTGTTTAATTATCAGACATTAGATGTTTTGGTAATAGAATTAAAATATTATTGAATTAACTTAAGAGCTAGGAATGGAATTCTTAGTTTGAGCACACGCATATATATTGGTTTGAAACAGAATAACTTTGAGAGCTCAAAAATGAGGAGTGCATATATATATATTTATAAATATACACACACACACACACCCCATCATTCCAATTTATTTGTTCTCGTAAGCAGGGGCGACACAGTAAAATTGGTTGGCTAAAGCCCGTAATAAGAGGTCTCAAGTAAATTTAATAAAATTAGATCTGGTGTGCGCAACACGTGCATCCCGTGCGTCACACGTGCATCACACGTGCATCTTTTGTCGATAGATAAATACTTTTAAAAGTCACATATATTGTTAAACCATGTGTGTAAAGTATAAAACAAACTTAAAAGAAAAAGTGTAAGTTCATTTGTATAATAATAATAATAGTAACTTTTATACTCGTAAGGATCCACTTGTAAGGATCTTTGTGTGTCACATGTGCATCTCGTGCGTCTGGCCTCAAAGTTCTTATACTCCTTATCACAGTGCAACATCAAATAGCATTTTAGATCGAGCCATTGATAGTGAAGATGCTCAGCACAAGGACATTCTTCGACTTGTAAGTACAAATTGTGTTCTGACTTGCATCCATGTGATTGTTTTGTCTTTGCAGTTTCATCTTATACTTATATTTTATAGGATCACATAGAAGGTTATCATGAATTATCTGCAAAGACGAAAGCTTTCTTCTCGGTTGGAGCTGCAAAATGGGATGCTGAGTACTATGTAAAGGTTGATGATGATGTTCACGTCAATTTAGGTTCTTCTGCTCTGTCTTTATACGTATCTTCTCTATTTATGTACCTTATCGTTCAGGGCAATTGAAAGTAGATGATTTTTTCAGTGATCTAGAAATTAAAAGTTGATCGCCATGGTATTGTAGGTACACTAGCTGCAACTCTTGCCAAGCACAGGTTAAAACCCAGGGTGTATATAGGATGCATGAAATCAGGGCCAGTTCTTTATAAAAAGTAACTTCTTTTGAAACTATTCTGGCAGCTGATGTCACTAAAATTTTAGAAGTTTAAAATTTCAGGATTTTATTTACTAGAACTAATCTGTGCAATTTTTTCCTGATAGGAGTGTTAAGTACCATGAACCTGAGTTCTGGAAATTTGGAGAGACGGGAAATAAGTACTTCCGACATGCAACTGGACAGATATATGCCATCTCGAAAGAACTGGCAACCTACATTGCCAACAACAAGTAAGATTTTCCGTTCATATATCCTCCCTTAAAGTCTGACCTAATGTGTTCATGCAATAGCATTCTACTTTGAACATGTAAAGCTAGGATCTTGTAGAATGTGCTGTATGCTGGTTATAATATTCTTATGCGATTGGAAAAGTTTATGCAAATGATAACGAGGACACAGTCACTTGAAATAGGGGAAAACGGACGTTACTTCTTGCTCACTAACAACTTAATATATCTGTATATATTGGGGATTGCTCTTGTTTTACACTTTCAGTTCTCTAGTCTAATCCCACTAATCATGAATGGACATCAATGCTTGTCCATCGAATAATAAATACTGGTGGTGATTTCAGACCTATTCTGCATAAATATGCAAATGAAGATGTGTCACTCGGGGCATGGTTGATCGGTCTAGAAGTTGAGCACATTGATGATCGTAACATGTGCTGTGGAACTCCTCCTGGTTAGCAGTTTCTAAATCTCTCATTTATCTCCTTTTCATACGTATCTTGGAATCGGTACCTAAGGCTTTTGTTTTCTTCTGCTGTTGCAGAATGTGAATGGAAAGCACAAGCAGGTAATGTTTGTGTGGCATCATTTGATTGGAGCTGCAGTGGAATTTGCAAATCAGTTGAAAGAATCAAGCACGTACATGCAAAATGCAGCGAAAGTCCTGCTACTCTATGGGGGGCTCTCATATAGACATCACTAATCTCATTATCCGAAGGTATTCTTCAACTATGATATCTATCCTCTCAAATTTAAGAGGGGTAACTTGTGGATCATTTGGAAAGACCAAGCCCAAGCTACAAAAGACAACTAATAGTGCAGATCTTGGTGGAGCTGTTTATATGACATGAAAAGAATATACATGTTGCTTGCTAGAGGCTGTTGATAAGGAGACCATAAATAGGAGGAAGACTTTAGTCTTCACTTAGTATAATTCTTTCCACAGATGAGAGTGGATTGGTGTCACGACCCGAATTTCCCACCCTCGGGAGTCGTGATGGCGCCTACTAGTGAAAGCTACGCAAGCCAACCAACTGAACTATCTACCTTATTTCCATTTTTAATCCGATAACGGTTAAGAGCCAACAATTAGATAACAACAAAATTGAATAAGCGGAAGACTGCATTGTAGAGATTTAATAATACTGCTAATACCAAACCATAACAAATCTACCCAAGACTGGTGTCACAACTTCACAGACTGTCTAGGAGTACTACAAATAAAGGTCTGAAAGAAATAAATACAATACTGTCTCTGGAAATACATGAAAGAAACAGGAATAGTAGATAGAAGGAGACGCGCCAAGGCCTGCGGACGCCTGCAGGACTACCTTGGATCGCCTGATGAACAAGAAAACAACAATCTCACTGCGGTCCGAAGTCTACAACACTGGGATCTGCACAAAAGAGTGCAGAGTGTATTATCAGCACAACCGACCCTATGTGCTGGTAAGTGCCTAGCCTAATCTCGGCGAATTAGTGACGAGACAAGGACCAGACTACCAAATAAACCTGTGCAATATAACGTACAAAAATAATAGGAAGCAGATAACAATGATGGCAACAATGACCAACCAGTGATGTAAATAGCAGGCCAGAAGAACACCATAAATGTTTCTCAACAAATAATAGATACAAGTGCAATCAATTCATCAAGTCCTTCAAATATAAATCTTTCGCCTATAAATCCTTCAAGTAATAATCTCCAAGATAATATGCTTTTCAATGAATATATATCGAATANTTGAAGCTTCAAATCTGGTCATAATAATTCAATATACTGAATATAAATCGTACTAATTAATTCCATATGAAAATACTAATTTTCTAACAAAATCCGAAATTTAACTCAAAATCGCTTGTGGGGCCCACGTCCCGAATTCCGACGAAACTTACAAAATCCGATAACCCATTCAACCACGAGTTCACCCATACAAATTTTATCAAATTCCGATAACAACTCGACCACCAAATCTAAAATTTTCATTTTTGGAAGATTTTGCAAAAATCTTGATTTCTTCCATTTAAATCCGAATTAAACGATGAAAATAACCATGGATTTATGTAATATAAACACTTTCGAGTATAAGACACTTACTTGAGTTGAAATCGTGAAGAACACCTCAAAATCGCCCAAAATCTGAGTTTGAAACTCAAAAAAATAAAAAATAAAACGTGTTGTTCGTCCTTTAACTGCCCAGAATTTTCGGGGGCACTATTCATGCATTTTTACTGTTCACGGGATACTGTTCACGGGGTACTGTACACTGGGTACTGTTCATTGGTACTGTTCACGGGGTACTATTTCTGCTATTTTTCCAAGTCCGAAATCACTCTGAGATACCTCCGAAACACTCCCGAGCCCTCGGGGCTCCTAACCAAACACATGCACTAACTCAACAACATCCTACAAACTTAACCGTGCGATCAAATCGCCAAACTAACATCATATACCACGAATTAAGCTTTAAAATCCAAGAATTCTTTCAAATTTCATAAAACATCAAATTTTCCATTTTGAGTCCGAAACACGTCAAACGACGTCCGTTTTCAACCAAACTTTACAGAAAGTGCTTAAACCATATATAAGACATGTACCGGACACCGGAACCAAAATACGGGTCCGATACCATCACTTTCTAATCAAATTTCATTTCCATTTTCCTTAAATATTTTCAGAAAACAATTTTACTCAAAAATTCATTTCTCGGGCCTGAGACCTCGGAATTCGATTCCGGGCATACGCCCAAGTCCCATAATTTCCTACGGACCTCCTGGGACCGTCAAATCTTGGATCCGGGTTCGTTTTCTCAAAATATTGACCGAAGTCAACTCAGTTGAGTTTTAAAGCTCTAATTCATAATTTAATCCATTTTTCATACAAAAACCTTCCAGAAAATTATACGGACTGTGCACGCAAGTTGAGAAATTATTGATAGCTCTTTTCAAGTTCTTAAACACCGAAATGATTATTTAATTTAAAGATGACATTTTGGGTCATCACATTCTCCACCTCTAAAACAAACGTTCGTCCTCGAACGTATTAAGAATTATTCTCAAGTTACCAAATTGATGATTTTACTTTTACACAATTATTCGCGGTTGATCCCACATTATCGCATTCGACATAAGTCCGACAATACCATTTCAATTGAGATCATTTCCTTTATCCATATTCGTAAACTTCAAGACCAAATTTCTTACACTCCAATCATTTTTAGAAAGGTCCAATCTTTACGTCAACACACGACATTAGTCCCGACTGGCTATAGCAACTCGTGCCTACGCACCCATCAAATACGGGGTATTACATTCTCCCCCACTTAGGGTCATTCGTCCTTAAATGAGAAGTAGAGTCCGTCTTCAAACACATAATGTAACTTATCTCTTTCTTTGCACATCTCAATATCCCAAATTTTTCTAACTCCCAAATTTTTCAGAAATTTCGGCAGAGTCTCCCCTGTAATTGGGCCTATCCACCTGTCAGAGTNGGAGTAACACCAAAACAACTCCTAACAACATGCACAACCCAACAATGCAACACAAAGTATATATCAATAACACTAATCTCCGCATTACAAGCACGACATTATCACAATG